AGAAAGTTAAGAAATTTCGGAGACGTCAGAATGATTAATAAGACCCTGGTCCGAAGTGCAACATTTGCTTGCCTCGTGGTACTGTATGTTTTCTTTTTAATATCAGTCCCGGATATGGATTTCGACATTTGTTAGGCCCCTTGTAGCGCTAGCATTGTTATGTCAGGGAAAATCCGGAATCCTTGTATTAAGAAACTTGGTAGAGTTTCGCGCCAAATATATATATATATATATAGAGGCGCGAAACTCAGACCTCGTCATTATCTACGATGTTCAGCCTGGCGTGTCAAATTGGACAATGAATGTCGTTTGTTTAACCTCTTGAATGAGTAAAGTCAACTTTAATAAGGCCACCGAGAGTGGGCGATTTTTCTGCGTTTTTTTAAGCTATGAACGAAACCGATTGGTCCATTTAATACAGTGATGTGCATTTTTTAATATTTCACTTCGCTTGGGTCGCTTTAATTTTTCCGTTCCCATTTTTGGACCATTTTCTGTGGAACGTACCAGAGGCGTATGTCTCCTTATTCTGTTTGACATGTCTTACGTCCATGGGTTACGGGCGATCGTCGCATGTCGCACAATGACAGGCTCCGCGATTTGATATGGAACTGGCGATGTCGCTTATCAATCGAAATCCCGAAAGGCACGCAAATGCTTGCGTAATCGCCATGGCATTACGTAGGTTCGTCGCTTTAACCACCACGAGGGCAAGTTTCATTGGATGTCGTCTGCGAGGAGAGCCTCGTAAATAAGGAATACTACTGAATCATGACCACTGACCTGTACGTCAAAGTCACGGCCAGTCCATGCGTCGTTAGTTCTGTAACAATACCTCGACATTACTTCATTAACTTCCCCAATTACTCCTTTGTACCCTAAACCGTGCCGAGTACTTGATATTTCATTCAACCTCACCGAAATCTTCCGATTTTCGGTGCATTCAATCACTCGCGTGATTATGAGAGAATTTAGTTAACCAGAGTACTCAGAATAGTGGAATGCACGTTTTATATAAGTAAATATGGTGGACATGTGTAGGCGTAAAAAATAAACGTTAATTACGCCCGTTTTTTTTTCTTCTATATTGCATATGTGTGTTGTGAGAAATGTCGAGCCTGTGTGTTAGGCTTTCGATGCGCTTGTCCCTTGGTCATGGAGCAATGTGTATTTTAATGGATTATTTGTACATTTATTAAAAGTATATAAGGAACGATTGCGAACGATTTCCTTACGTTCGGAACGTTTGTAAGACGTTTGCTAATTTAGTCGCTTATCCGCGTATTTTATATACGTGTTATAGATCTTTAATAGTAGATTTTTAAACAACGCTCCGAATGCCAGATTGATATAACACCTTTTTGCGCTTGTGGGAATGACAAGATTAATTCCAAGGTGTGCTCGCTAATTTCGAAAATTATTTGTACACCAAAGATTTCAATATTGCGAATCAGTTGAAGCAGGATTTAGAGGGTAAGGGTCTGTTATTCGAGTTCGGTATTGCCGAGGACTGCCGAATTAACGAGGCTGTACGCGTTTGTTTACATACTTGTAAACTAATCACCACGAGGTTACCTCTGGCTTCTCTCGCAATGATTCTCATAACCGTATCGAATTCCGATCAGTTATCATGTACGCAAAAGGAGCTGGAGCAAAATTTTCCAAGCAAGGAGTGCTAAAAGTGATACACCAGAATGACAACTTGTCGAAATTAACCGAAATGTGCAAGTTTGGAGGTGCCACCGTTCGTCATCTTGGAATCAAGAACGGTTAGACGGATTCCTTCCTGCGTCCTTATTTATTCTTACGAATAGCATATTAATTTTCCATTCAAGCGGAGGAAAGTAATTTTCATTCTGCCTTACGACTTTAAATGATTCGTGTAACTTCCGTTTTCTTTAGTTCGCGCTTAGAATTATCATTTATAAAGAAAAAAAAAAAAGTATTTCAGAATCATTTTAGAGTTATTCGTCGTGGAAATATTAATTCCACTTTTCTTCCATTATGATCTCTACTCGGATCGTTTCGCTGTCAGTTTTCCCTTTGTTTTTATAGATACGCATAATCGGTACTAATGCGCTAATGATAATTCCGCAAGTCGACAATTTAACAGGCCATCCGTCACGCGACCAACGCGTGCGGTGCACGATTTTTCCTTCTGGCAATATCGCCGGTCTTTTAATCGTCCGGGTCAGCGAACCGGCTTGAACTAACGTCTCTCTTCTCTTTTATCATTATCTTGTCAGCAGAAATTCTCCTCCTTGATTTAGGAGATAATGCCGAAAGGCTTTTAATCGTATGGGATCGGCAATTGAGGACGGATAAACGTATCTCGTGTTCTTAATTGGTTAATGAAAATCCTGGCTCTCGAATTAGGAAAGAATTTCCACCAATTTTTCATCGTTAATTCGAAAAAGTGTATACTGATCCTTGAATAACAGAAGACGGCAGAGTAGTCCTTAAGGTGATGTGAAAGTGGCGTGAAAGAGGTATCGTTTATTAAGCTTTTCTCCGAACCGAGTGTATCGCATCGGCTCAAACTTAACAATGGGAATATGGAGGCTATAAGGAAGGTTCTGAAACCCATGGAATTTCAATTTTAACATAATTTGTTTATAGCCATTTTCAACAATTTTAATAACAAATGAAATTTCGCGAGGACCTACCTTATGTCCTCTTTATTCACGTGGTGGAATTTAAGCGAGAACGAATTGGTACACTCAATTCGTAAAAAAGTTTCATGAACGATTGACTCTTAAGCTGCCACTTTCACATCCCTTTAACCGAGTAGTCCTTAACACTTTACTGACCGGAAGCCTATTAACCCCTTAACGCACAGTTTAAAAAAAAAAACCGGTAAAAAAAAATAAATTTTATTTTATGTAAAAAGCACTAGAACATTGTCTTGGCAAAAAAATGAAATTCTCGATTATATTCGAGTGTGAAAAATTATACTAACATAATATACAACGCCGCTCGAATTATCTCGAATGTGCACAGTTTGGCCTGTTTAGCGCGCTCGAATTAACTCGAGCGCACAAGTTAAAGAGTTAATCGGTTTTGCGATACCCGTGATCGCCCTTTACTTCGAAATTCGCCGTTCGGTAAAGTGTTAACCGGTATTCCAGCGAAGAACATCAAACAACATATATCACTGCAACAATTGCCCTGACGAGCGGAGGATGCATCTCGGCGATTGTTTTACAAAATACCACGCAGAGCAACGATACAGTCCTTAATGTTTAAAAAATTCTCTTCTTTCACATGTATGGATACATGAGATATTAAGAGATAACAAGTTTAGTACGTTAATTTGTATGTTAAAGCATTTTAAATTTAACTGGTTGAGATTCGCCAAGTGTGTGGAAAATCGTCTAAAGTTGCTAGGTCGTCCAGGCGAAAGAAACCTCGAGCGCGAAGGACTAAAATCGGTGGCGGCGAAACGGACTCTGCTTCGCGATACGCGTATAAAGAAAACCGGCGATTCACCTCGCGACCCCTGAACCGGCGTCCGGTCATCCGGGGACGACGCCACTCGCCGATTCGAGGCGTCGCCGAGCGTCGCGGCGATTTTTCCCCGTCGTCCCCCGGGCAGTAGCGGCCGCTCGCCCATACTCGCGGCCAGTTAGCCGTGGCCGGTCCGCTTGCTCGGCAACGAGGAACGCACCCGGCGATCGCGACCGAAAAAAGAGAGCCTTAAGGTAAGGCCCGGCTCCCTCGGGACGAGGGGACCCGCGGCCCCTCGGCATGATCCGGACGCTGATGGACGCGATCCTCGGTACTCCCGCCCTCTTGCTTCTTTTTTTTCTCACCTTTCTATTATACTTCCGTCCGCCTTCGCGCGTGTTCCGGACGAGGACAGGTGTGTGGTTTTGCTCGCCGGACGTTATACCGATAAGGGTTCTTGCCTTTTGTTCGCCTTTCTTTTTTTTTTTCTTTTCTTTTCTTTTTTTTTATGGGCGTTTTCGCGTTTCCTGGTAGATGGAATGTGGGGTAATTATTCGGTACTTGTTGGTGTTTTTTTTTTTATTATTTGTTTTTGATTTTGTTTTTGCATCCCCCCTGGGGCCTGGATGCAGTCAGGGGGGTGCTCGAGGTAATTGCGGGTTACGAGATGTTCAGCTTGATTTTATTTTGTTTTCGGGGTGATTTAGTCGGCTTTTTGGTGAATCCCATAATTGCGATCCTTAAGGCCATGGACAGTGTCTCTTGTGTTTGTCCTGGGTTGTTTCGTTTTTGTTTGTTCGCGGTGTTAGGGGCATGACCTTGGAGACGAATTTTGATAACTACGGTATGTCTGTTGGAGATGTTGAGTTTTATTTTGCTATTCGTTGTCCGTTCACTTGGGCCATTTCTGTGCTAATTTTTAGTTTTGGCGCAGATGGTATTTATGTTAAGAATTTTACGGTTCATTGTTTTTGGCTAGTTTTTGCTTTATTCTTATTTTATCTGGCATGCGGGGGGGGGGTTTGGTAACTAACTTTTACTTTGATTTGCGGCTTTTAGATGATCTCGATCCTCGGTCCACGTTCGTTTCGTCGTCTATCTTTATTTATAGATATTTATATATTTTTCATGATTAGCCTTCGGTCCTGGAAAAAGGGAGTTTTTTTGAATTCTCAAATATTTTGGTCGATTTATATCATGTTTGGCAGTTCTCTCCCACGAGGACGAACTCATAGTTTTGTGTTTGCGCGTGTGTGCTCATTTTCATTTACTTATTCATATCATGCACCTAGCCTTCATCGTGTACTATTTTTTTACAACGATGGATTTCAGTAATTGCCGACTATTTTGGTTAACAAAATAGGAGACTGCGTAGTATTTTGACAAGAGTATGCACTGTCGTGTAGAAAAAGTGATCGAAAATATGTTGCATAAAAAGCCTTCAGAAACGAAATTTAACACTACGAGCTAATGTAAATGTATACAAATTTATATTGTCCTAACATGTATTTATCATATTTATCCACCGAGTTGATTTGAGTGAATAAGGAAATGACAAGGTAACATATGATAGTCGTTAATAGATTCACTTATTAAAGAACGATGGTAGTATAATTATGTTTTCTAGCGTGATAGTTAGTGTTTAGTAAATGACACTATTTCTATGATGTCAGTATTTCGAGCCAGTCATGCTCTTCGTAATTCATAATTCATAACAATATTTCAGTAGGTAAGCATTTTATTTTTCACTTTCATGAACTGGTCTAAATTTTGTTCGGTATATAATTAAACGACCTATACGTAGGCTAATTTATTAATATAATTGTTCGTACAGTCTGCCAGGGTACTGCATGCTATATACATTCTACACATTTATACATTTGTTTAGAAATCCTACATTTTACTGCACAAGTGTTACTCATTGCATGTAATCTTGTTAATGCACGACTTCAAGAGGGAGATATTTCTTGCAGAATATTTTTCATTTTTAACCTTCGTGGCTTTGTTAATCACGTCTCGTTAATTGGTGAACCGAGGAACTGTTATAAAACGTTGGAAGTGGTGTAACCTCACGAATCGACCACATGGCATCTTCGTGATTTTATTATCTTCTCGTATTAATTAAATAATCAATACATTAATATTATCGTATCCCGTGGCGGAAACTAACAAGGCGATGATTCGCCAACCTCACACGTTCTTTGTCTAGCGATTAAAGTACACTAGATAGTGCCTTCTATTTGAGATCTCAATAGTCGTGCGGTTATATTTAACCATTCAGATGTCCGTATCCTAATCGAACAATTACTGAATTAAATGTACACATCAACGCCTGGTCTTCCGAGTGGTTTTAATTACCTCAGTGTCATGCCCTCTTAAAAACGGCCCGTTACATTCGAGAGTTTATTTCTTAATCGAGGGTTAAGCAATTAATATTAACATTTCTACACCCGCACTTCGTTTTAAATAATTTCCAGGTTTTTTTTTCAATTTTCCACTTTGAGCACTTTTGATCGATGGTATTATTTTCGTTGAATTAATTCCCCCGTTTAATTCTCTTTACCCTTTTATCGCATTAGGAAAATCATGTAAAATAATTGTATTAGTTCATGGTTAATTATTTATTATTTATCGTTACGTCAAACCGATGGGAGAGGTACGATTAGGAACTCGAGACTTTTATTGATTCGGGTTTTGGATTTTTTAAACGAAGGTTAAGAAGTACATGCTTGGTCATCGTCATCGGGAGTTCTATGCGAGGTTAACTAATTCATTACCTTGGTGCTGGGTGTTAGGTCCCAGAATTTGCATATTAACGTAACGCATGTTAGCATAATGTGCCGCTGTGTTTGTCGTGTGCCCTTTTCTTAATCCTTCTTTCATATCTTCCGTATCGGGCATTTCCTTTCAGTGATGTTAAATGTGATTAGACGCTTTAAAAATCCTCAATCGATACTATTTCGATATGACGATACAAATCTCCCGAAATCCCCAAGCTGATTTCATTTTTATCCTATGTCAACTCGTTCGGACATTACCGCGTGAGACTTTTGTGCCACTTCTTGTACTAATCTTCGTCGATATCGATACGGCGTCGGCAAATTGATATGGGGCAAAAAATCGATTTCCAATTCCCTTCTACTTGATTCCACGAAAACCACGGACGATTGATCGGAAAAAATAAGCGAGCACGCGAATCCGCGCGAGCGGGTCGAAGAATTTTTACTAACTCCCGAGAAGGGGGAGGGAGGTACGGGTCAGGGCGATTACATTATCTCTGGATTCTTCCATCGACGAGCACCGACTAACCAATCTTCCTCGCTAATCTCGATCTCCTCTCTGCGCTTAAAAGCACCTTCCGCAACAGTGCCGACTTCGCATTCTAACTCGCATGACCCACCCACGGAGGAGCATGAGCTTTATTAATAATCGAAGGAGCTTTCCATGAGACTTGTCGCTACCTAATCAGGAGAGGCAAAACAAGGGAGATCAGTCCTGCTCTCGGCTAAAATCTCGTTGGCCGAAAAGTCGATGATAAAGCTAAAACATCCAAGACTCGGCTGAGAGAAAAAAAAAAAGAAAAAAAGTTAAAGAAAAGGTGAAGAATCTGGTAGATAGAGGAGACCGGCAGAAAGGACTCGCCGAGGGAAAGGAGACAGGGGAAGATCCTTCCTCCAGGAGTGGTCTCATGATTTGTGCGCGATTCCTTTTGAAGGTAACACTTGCCGCGCGGTCGAGCAGCCTCCGGAGCTTGGTCCACCAGGATCGGGGGAAGAAGAGTTTCTGGACCGAGGTCGCGACGGAGGCTTGGACAGGATGGCCGAACCCGTCAGCTTTGTCGTTGGGGATCCTGATCCCTGCGAGGAACTCGAGATCGAGGACAGCTTCCCTGGGGAAGGCAACGATGGGAGCCAACCGCAGCCTGCCCTCCCAGGACTCGTTGAGCGCCGAAAGCGCCTCAGGTGAACACGAGCTCTGGACACTCTGATGTATGCCAGGTTCTCAGGCACTTTTGTCCATTTTTCGGGATCTATGAGAAACCGTGGTCGAACTTTGAAGGTCTGGTGGGATCTTTAGGATGTCGGGGAATTTTTGAGGAATTTTCAGACATTTTTAAAGGGCCTTTCAAAATCGTAGATCTACATTGCCCGGGTATCGGAGTGTGAATGTTTTTGAGGGATTTCGTACAATTTTGTTACGCTTTAAGGGGGAGGTGGTAGGTTGTGAAATGCATTTTTATCGAGATGAGTTTGAAAGAGATTGACAAAGCATTGGTAGGTAATAGTTGCTCACAGGGCTATTACATTTGATTTTCTGGTGAGTTTATGATACAAAGGGATCTTCAATGTTTCAAAGTGATCTTTTCCAGTTTGTAAAACCACCTCGACTTTTTGTTTGTCGTTCGACATTCTCTTTCACTCGTGTACACTGTAAAAGGAAATATACTTTCAGCCTCAGCGGATCTTTAAAGAATTCAAAAATATTCAATGTGTAAGATTTTCCGATTGAAATGATTACGCGAAGTTCAGATATTAAAATATTTATCCTGACCCAGGCATATATCAGAGCTAAGCAGTAATCAAGCCTTAGTTGGCAGTGACAAGCATGACAGAATGTAAAATGAATTAATGATCAAATTACGAAAGGGAAATCAGGTCGAAATCATGTCCCTTTCTTTCGGAGTGATGTTCATATATCTCGAATACATAGGTTCGCCTCGAAAACGTGATTTGAGATTTTTAGTCTTGAAACGCCATGCGTACGTCGAATTCTTTATTTCAATAATTCGGAAATTTTTACCTTTACCTAGACATTATTTATGAGACGTTCTGCGTAACCACATTGTTGTTACTTTCCTACGTGGAACGATTTTGATCGAACAAAAGCATTTAAAATCTTCTGATAGAGAGCAAACTGCAAATGTAGTATCACAATTATTTCTGTAAACAATCAGAGCCAATTGATTCTTATGTTTTCTATGATGTTTGCATATATTTCATGGTCTGATATCATTCATTTTTAATACATTGATATTCCTTTATAATAGATTAGCCAGGGCAGTGTAAATCTGCTTCACTAGCGAACATGTTACTCTCCAAACAGGTTATATGCATTATAAATCTGAATGAACAGTGCATATCGTCTGCTAACGTAGTGGCCATGCTTAGATGCTGCTGAGGCCTTGAAAATATTCGCTTGACAAATTATTCAGCTTGCGTCATTAGGGCGGAAAAAAAGTGTCCATTTGTTTAATGTTGAATATTCAAGATTTCGCCGCCGAAGGAACTTGACCGCATGGACTGCACGAGCTTCTGACTTGAAATATAATCCGCATAATTAGTAAAAATTGAAAATATTTTCGGGAATTAAAAGACAAATTATTCACAACCATGCCAAATCAGCAAAAAATCAATGAAGTTAATAAAATCATTTAATTGACATGATTAACTAAATTCTTAACAAAGGCTTTGGCTGTGTTGTTGAAAGTTTTAAAATACTTTGTAATTGTAACGAATTGAACAGAATTTATAGAATGTTGATTGTAATCTTAATTTATCGATTAGACGGCTCCTACAAATGACGTCTATACATTTCTATTTGAGAATGTACAGGATTGTGTTCAGCTCATTATGTCTGATTATTGTCCAGTAAGATCGAGTTACGAGAAAGGTGCCGTATTATTCCTCGATATTCCATCGATTCGAGACTAGACTTTGTCCGATTCCAACCTAACCTAGGAAAGTTCCCAGCCGCGTAGTCTGCCACACATATTTATGCTTAATCGACACACATACATCCGTTCAATCAACAGGATATCCACCGTTAAGACACGAGTTAAAAATGAACATATTCCTCTTTCCTCGGAAAAATGTTTTCTGAACGTCAAGAAGATACATAGTTGACTATCCGTAGCATCAGAACAATCATAACCTCAAATAAATACAACTACTGATTTAGAGAAGAACAGCTCGCCAAAAAACCTGCAGCACCTAAAAATCAAAGTTCTGCATGTCTGATAACCACGTCGTTTAGCATAAGAAATTAAACCAACTTTTTATTTTTACGACCAAACTTACATTCCCCTCTCTTTACATTATTGTAAACGATAGATCTTAATCTCCGACTTGTGCGATTGTTATTTTTGTACGTTGCAATTTTTTTCAAAGCAATATAGTCCGAGCGATGAACGCGTTTTTATCCTTCTTCCTGAGTAAACAGACTTTTAAACCGTACTTTTATTTCAAAGGAATCCTCCCCATTCGGCGGTATCTGTACCGTGTCGCGTGTCCTCTTACGCGGTAATAAGGAATTGCGACACTCGCGTATTACTTGGTAAATAATCCTTATTCCATACGTTTCATAAGAGCGGGGAGAATATCGTGAAGAAAAAAAAAAACGTGCACTCCGAGATACACGGAAGTGAACTGACGTTTCTTTGACGGACCACGTGGTAGGCAGCCGCGCGAGGATGCACGTGGTCTCGGCGGAGGTGGGGGGAGGCAACGGCGCGCGCCGATTGGTCGCCGGTGGTCACGTGATGCGTCAGCTGGCGTCAGGTGACCTACTGCACCTGCGCCGTCTCCCTCCCTCGTCTTGGTCTCCTTGGCTTTGTAACCTGCGAGAGAAACTCGTCCTGCGCAAGGTTAGGAACGCACTTATCCCTCGCTCCCTCTTATCTTCGGTCTTTACCGCGAGGAGAAAGTGACGAAGCCCGGAAAAGCGATAAATGCGGTTAGGTTTCCCTAGGGCAAAAAACTTGGATTTTCAGCGGATCGATATAATAAATAATAAGTACGTAGCGAACATTGAGAAAGCAAGTCGAAGCTTCGGTTTTGCCTTGGGTAGATTTTCTTTGGTTCGGTGCTTGTTAGATTTGTGTAGGGTGATAAGAGTAATAGGAGAACTTACCGCTGAGTCGCCTTTGACATCGCGGCGAGTGAGCCACAAGGAAACTTCGAATTAATGACAAAAACCAGATGGCGACCTGTAATTTGATTTTTCTAGTCAGTACTCAGAATCATTGCAACCACGATTGCACAGGTAGAAGAGACGTATTAAGCGCGTTTTCGTATACCCCAAAGATCAGATGAATCATTCAGCTGGTATTAAAAGAGTTACGAGCGACCTAGTGATCGCGTAAACTTTAAATAATTTCTATCGGGAGAAGTCATCCATGTGAGGTTTGAAATTTTCATTGGATTAACAACTGTTTTAAAAAGTAACGCTCGCGATTACGACAATTGCGAAATCAGACTGACAGAATGAATTAAAATTGCTTGGAGATCTTTCTTCGCTATTATTTTTCTACTGGTTACCGTTAAGAGATATAAATAAAACGAGGGTTATATATTTATGTATGTAAAATGTGCTCGTGAAATAATGTATGTAATGGGTTTGTTTGGGTAATGAAGATGCAAATTAAACGCGACCTGCACACGTCGAGGCATTCCTCTGCATTCGACTTGTACAGTATAGTGCCGCAGGGAGCAGCAACTATACATTGCTCGTTTCTTCTCCAAGTGGCACCGAGTCTCGTGTAGAGGGGCACCTCTTAAAGAAAAGTGACGAACACCTCGATGGTAAACCGACAGTAACGCGCGGTCCTCGTTACGGTGTGGGCGCCGCTTAAATTTATTTCTTCTAAACGAAACCGTCCCTAACACTGCCACACTTGGCGCGTATTAATAAACACTAAAATCACGTAACTTATCAATGATAATGTTCGAAATCAATACCACCGTGTGATGTGCGTTGTGTAATTTATATAAGCGTAAATGTGAATTGCAACACGGAAGAGAGAACTGCACGAAGTACACGTCCATGGCAAAACTAGCCAAAGTCTCCTCTTGCCATTTTTTGTTCTTTTTTTTTCTCGTTTAATTAATACCTTAATTAATACCATAAATGAATGCAGAAGTTAAAAGAAAATGTCCTTCGAGGTCGGACTCAAATGGCGTCGTTAAGAAATAATTGTCCGGTCGGTCTTCGTTACATCGAGATGTCGATAAGATGGGAAATTGTTAATGTTTTGGAAGGAAGAGTTGCAAATTGTAACAACTATTTCATTTACGCGTTGTGTTAGGGAGGGTCGAAACGCTTTTCGAATTCATTTTTTCGCAGTTTTAGGTTTACGTTAAGTGATCGTGGGAGACTTAATCGTGGTTGAATTAATGTCAATTAAATGGGCTTCTTGTGCTGGGGGGAAGTATTGGTGGGCAGGTTTCGAGACTCGTAATTTTGCAAACATCACATTCTGTAGTATAATATGCAAATGGTTGGAAAATGCTGCGCAAGCAAATCTTTAACCGTGAGCCTCTTGTGTCTTATTTAAGAACATGCTTTTAAGGGCACTCGTAAGCGACATTATACCCAGTGAATTTTTTGACGTCTTTGTTTATTACTATTTCAAGACCGATGGAGGGATATCTCTATAAATCTTCAACGTTCGGGCGCGTTTATTAAAGAAAATAATCATTCTACGAAACGTTCCTGAGGAGTGATTATTTTCGATTTCTCGTTAAGTAACTAATTCCGAGGAATCATTATCGCCTTCATGGGAAATCACTCCTCATGATCCTAACACTAGTGCCCAAATTTCAGAGCGCTTTTTGAACGCATTCTGAATAATAACAATAAAAATCGGCATTGAAGTTTCATAAAAATTATAAAAATGGGCTTTTCATTCATTTGTTCCTTACACCTAAATTGTGTATTTTCGCGTGTAACGCCAACAATACACTGTATATAATACTACCTTTATTGCCGTTAATTCTATGTTAGTATGACACGAAACGATTGATTTCTTTTTGGGGGGTTGTCACATTGATCCGCTTGGTTGTTATGGTTATGTAATAAATATTTACTTTTGACACGAGAAAATATGTGTGGTGATTTATGGTAGAAAACGACCTTGAAACTTGTGCTTGGGGAAGGAAAATTGAAGGGGGGATTTAAATGTACTGAGGTCTCCCTCTAATTAAAAAATCGAGCATTATCGCGGGAGGATGTCAAGTCGCGTAAAGTGGAATGCACCTTTGGACCCATTCGAACAGAATACTCTTAAAAGCACAGGTCCAAGGTGAGCAACCTGCGATTTAACGTCAGTGAAATTCCGAGGAAGAAGTCGGCCAATAGGAAGAAAAAGTACGTTAATGAGTGTCGTCATTTAGTCGAGAGTCCAAACGGTACGACTCATTTTCGACGGGATAAATTTCAGTCTTTCGCGAGGCCAGCTTTGGGCACGGTTCCTTGAAAATTCTCGAGTATCCTTGGAATTAATAGTCAGAATTTGTTAAAAGCTATGTGAAGGATTCATTTATGGATTCGTTTCACTCAGTGCAGGCGTAAAATGATCCAGCTTCAGATTTCCTTATAAGGTCCGAAATTAATAAAAAAATTGTTTATATATATATATTTTACTATCAATAAATATCGCATTTACCCTATCATCTGTTCGTTACAATTGTTGAGACAGAGGGATAGTGTTTTTTAGTGGGTGAACAAATATCACACTTGAGGCTATTTTTCGTTATTTTCTCGCAGCTTTGGAGATTCAAAATAACATCCTAATGAAGTACAGCTAGGTTTGTTATGTAAATTTCTTAATCCTTTTCTGTTTGCTTGGTCGAGCGTTGAGAAATCGTGTTTTTGCGAGAATATGATGTTTGCCTTACGGTGTTCAACATCGGCCAGATTTCCCCGAAATCGCTGAAATTAGGGCCCCAGAAAGCATGAATAAGAGGATTTCTGGAGTTTTACTTCCATTTCTTGATATTTATTGTACGAAAACGACAGGTGGAGTGTGCCATTTGGTACAATATCCAATATAATTCGACACAGTTGTCAATAGAAAAACGAATTTCGGCAACGTAGGCATTTAGAAAAATCTTCTTTATCGACGTCGATCAAGTTCCTCGACGTGGCTCATTTCACCTTAATCCGTTAATCGAAGGTGAATAAGAATCACGAGACAGCTATTTGTTTTCGGAGAAAGAAAGTAGTTAAAAGAGGAATAGATTTTTATCTTAAGCGCGAGCGATCTTTCTAGGGGGGTCCTTATTTCTTTGTTGCAAACATTAACAATATACCTTGTAGATAACAATATATGGAAAGCGACGGAAGAAATGTCGACTTTGACGCCTTTAAGTTAATTTCCACCGATGACTCGAAGATAAATTCTTTTAATTAATATTTTCTTCCTCATACAGAACGTTATTAATATATCCTACGGATAATAATACATAAAAACGAGAATGAAACATATACTTTTAATACCTACTTATCATTTTAATTTACTCGGTCAAGTTAAATCAAGGATTCCCTGTTAAGTGATACTCAAGACTAAGCTCTCGATTACTTCCTTACTGAAAACAGTATTAATATATTTCTCTTGGATGTTAATACCCGGAGAGTGGAATAAACACACTTGGACACTTACCTTCGATGAGAACTTCAATTCGGCTTGTGCAGTTAAAATAAAATATTCTAATAATATATAATATTCATCTACTTATTTACCAAGGACATCGTTAATGGTGTCTCATGGCTGAAACTACATGAATAGAACATTAAGGACCACGGGCCGTTTTTGAGACCCCTGGTTTGATTTATACAGTCAAGACGAATTTTCATCAGCGAGTGTATCTACCCGGGAAGAAAAATTTGGTAGAATTTTGGAGGACACTTTCCTTTAAAGAGATTTGCGGCTCAATTTGGCGACTGATCCTCGAGGGAAGAGAAATGAAGCGCATTAAGCGGTTCGTTTTGGCCGAAAGCACCGAAAAAGATCCCATCTGGAAGAGCTCGGACAATTTATTGGCCAGCGTTGGACGAATTAATCTCGAAAAGGGCGAGGAAGACCAGGCGAAAGACGTTAAGGATGTTAAGGATATGGATAAGGACGTTAAAGCTGAAACGTCGACGCATGGCTTAACGTAATGACGTGTTATGATTAAATCCCCGTTTGCACGATTTTCATTTTTTTTTCGCCGTGCCTCTGCATCACTGAAAAATATTCAGCTTGAGGTATCGGTGGTGGTAAAGTAAAATGAAAAGCTAACTATAAGGATGAATGTCATTTTTAAATATAGAGGATGGCTCAGTGTCGAAACGAGTACACCTCGATTGGTACTGCAACTAAAGGAGGATGCATAGATAAGGGTGAAATTAAAGGAACTTAAGTATTGTTTTACACATTTCATGTTTTTAATTGCAAATTTAATACATCTGAATGAGTAAGAATACAGGGTACCTCAAGCTGAAATTTTACATCTTCATTCTTAGCGTAAGTTTTTAAACAAATCTGTCTAAGTTGTTACTCGAGTGACGATACAGTGGTATTCCTATTTCATGAATCTAGAAAGGGATGCGTAGACTGCGGAAATAGAATTCTTCTAGGAGAGGTCATTTTTAATTTCTTGTTAAAAAAAAATAGTGGCACATGAAACGAAGGATATAAAACTTACCGTTTCTACGTTATGAAACGTAATTTTTTGCCTCGTGTAAAAAGAATGAAATCTTTTCGAATAAAATGGTCGGTTGAGCTTGAGAGGCGAGTAAACGGTACTTTCTTTAAAAACATGTTGTTTTTTTTTTAGTCATTTATTTAAACTAATATCAATTGTCATGCTTGGTTAAATGCACCAGAGTGTATTTTGCTGGGATTCTTCGATGATGAGTCATGATATGTTTAATTGGTTCGATGAACATTCGAATAAATGAATAGTTACGTAATTTATTCGTATGCAATTTTGCAATGAATTAGATATTTACGTAGCTATTATCTATTTGATAAGATACTGTGAAATAAGTTTATAAACTTAACCGATTCAACGTGTTTTGAAAATAAATACAATTTATCGAACCCAAGTGAATTAACGTTCTATGTAATAATATTTTTCCTTAGTGTACATAATAAACCATGAGTTGATAAAGGTATATCAGCGATAGATGTTGAAGGAACTATTGAGATGTAGTTTAGTGTTTATTATTGCAGTGTATAACAAGATACACTTTTAAAGTCTACAGTCAACTCTTAAGTTAGTGTTAATTACGTCAAAGTTGTATATGAATTTTTGATAATTCCAGTTGCATCCATCGACTTTATTTATTATTTATTTGCATTATTATTTTTCTCGATAATATATGTAAACTTTGTCCGTGTGCGTGAAAGAAAGAAAAGTCAGGAAAGAGGGGAACAGTATTTATGTTATAAAAATCGAGCTCTTCAAACTGTACAAGAGTACATACATATAAACCTACGTTATCCAGTGAATTCTCATTTCGTTTCTAAGGAAAGTTCTGTCGCCATAATTTCGAATGTCTTGGTGAAAGCTATTTCGAAGTAGTCCTTCTTTGTCAGCAATGAATTAACGTTTCAACAATGTTTTCACGTAATTGGTTTTAATGATTCTCAGATGGAAGATCTATAAACAGGGTTTATTTTATTGTAACATTATCTTTTCCTACTGTTACATAAAGTCATCATAAGAGAGCTCCTTTTTTGCTGTACTGGTTTTCCATGTTTCGCGGAAAAAAGAAATTATTTTCGCGTGCGAATGGTAAATTAGTTCCTGTTAAATCTGTAAGAAAATAATACAAGGAAAACATAAAAATATAAAATAATCGTTGAGAGGCATCTGCAATAAATTTAGGCAATGACTGAAATTCTGATTCGTAGCGAATAACAATTACTTTAAACCCTTGCTAAACAATGTATACGTAAGTTTGGTCTTGTGAAATTTTAATGTCGAACGATATTCACTTTTACTGTTTAGAATTTTTGCGCCGTCATATACAATGATAGGCAATACAAAATATGGCATAGCATTCATATCTAACTAAATGATCTTAACTTTAATGAAATTATGAATATTTCTATTTCTATAAAGGCTGATGGTCAGTCGAATCTGAACATTCGCAGAAATCCTCAAGGCAAGATTAATTGCCATTGAAAAAGTACATTGTCAAATAATATTTCTTTGCTCATAAATATGATTTATCAGTTTTTAAGTACTCATTATTCGAAAGCATGAATTTACATAAATCTAAATGGAAGATCTAAATTCGAAGTTATGCTGCGTGACGCATTCCAATGAAGGAACTTTCTCCGCTCCCATAATTTATGGTACGGTCCGGATTTGTACGCATACAAATGTTAAGTATTCTTATGACCATGTGAAACAACAATTACAGTCTAGAAATCGTAATACAATCTCGATTGCACCGATATCGTAGATGTCGGTTGCACTTAACAGTTTCTACGAACCTTCATTTTTATCCGGAATTTGTGGTAAATATTCTGATAAATGAACTCACACGAATAAGTGAATACTTAAGGAGTTATTTCATGAGTGATAATTTATTCCACGTGCATAAGTTTTCTTTATCACCTGCTAAAACATTCCATCCTAATTATCATAATTATCATGGGTACCAAGTACTATTTAACTCGTCGTGAAGTCTAACGAAGAATGGTCCCATTGCAAATGCATCACCCTTGAAAATTGTTTATTGTCGATTCTCACTAATTTAATTTCTTTTCTGCCTTTAGGCCTAGCATGTCGCAGGGCACGGTAATGATTCAAGCGCAAAGCCGTCTGCAAGAAAAGGACTTCACCGTAGCTACACCCGAAGAATTCGTCCGACGTTTTGGCGGCACCAACATCATCAACAAGGTGACAATTTAGCATAAAATTTCTGGGAAATAATCGGTTCTATCATGTATTAACTTTAGCCATTTAAGGTGATGTGAAAGTGGCGTCAAAGAGGTTTCGTTTCTTAAGCTTTTCTCCTACCTGGGTGCACCGAATCGTTTCAAACTTGAATGTGAATACGGAGGCTCTAAAGAAGGTCCCGACCGCCATAGCATTTCAATTTTTTTTTTAAATTTGTACATAGATATTTTCAAAATTGATGATAAATAAATTAAATTTTGCAAGTGATCAGGACCTTCCTTATAGTTGGTAGAAAAGTTTCATGAACGATTGAGCTGAAGTGATGCCACTTTAACATCCCTTTAATTCCACCGGTAACACTGGTAAACTTATTTTGATTAATTATTTTGTCATTTGTAAGTGACCCTACATCGTTGTATATCTCATCCCGCTGGGTATGATGTGTAAATATTGATGCAAATTTTCATTCGCAGGTTCTCATCGCAAATAATGGGATCGCTGCGGTTAAATGTATGCGGTCCGTTCGCCGATGGTCATACGAGATGTTCAAGAGCGAGCGAGCCGTCCGATTTGTTGTCATGGTCACTCCTGAAGATCTGAAGGCCAACGCGGAGTACATCAAAATGGCAGACCAATACGTTCCCGTCCCTGGGGGAACGAACAACAACAATTACGCGAACGTAGAACTCATCGTGGACATCGCCATCCGGACGCAGGTGCAGGCGGTCTGGGCAGGATGGGGACACGCCTCGGAGAATCCGAAGTTGCCGGAGTTGCTGCACAAAAATAATATCTGCTTCATCGGTACATTCGCATACTTGAATAATTATTAGTAGATCGTATTGCTGCATATGCTGTTCCGAAACTGAACCCTATGAAAGTACTTGCTGTTCATGTTTCATTTGAAAATCTATCTATATAGATCTATATATTTGAGATACATATTTTTTTAACATTTTTAATATTGCAGGGCCTTCGGAGCGAGCCATGTGGGCACTTGGAGATAAGATCGCTTCGAGTATAGTTGCTCAAACCGCGGATGTTCCTACTCTTCCGTGGTCGGGTTCTGAACTCAAAGCTCACTACAGTGGGAAGAAAATCAAAATCTCTTCTGAGCTTTTCAAAAAGGGTTGCGTTTCTACCGTGGAGGAATGCTTGGCCGCAGCTAACAAAATTGGTTTCCCTATCATGGTCAAGGCTAGCGAAGGCGGAGGTGGTAAGGGTATTCGGAAAGTTGAAAACGCAGAAGAATTACCCGCACTGTTTAGGTAAATAGAGAGATATAAGTTACATGTTATTTAATAAATTAAAAGGTGGTTTAGTTACCGAGCAACTACTGGTACCGTCTCAAACAATAATATACATAGTACGAGATATTAATGCCAAAACTTTTCCTCAGGCAAGTACAGACTGAAATACCTGGATCTCCTATATTTATTATGAAACTGGCCAAGTGCGCTCGCCATTTGGAAGTGCAACTATTAGCTGATAATTATGGGAACGCTATCTCTTTATTCGGCCGTGACTGCTCGATTCAGAGGAGGCATCAGAAAATTATCGAAGAGGCGCCGGCCGTTATCGCGAAGCCGGAGGTTTTCGAGGAAATGGAGAAAGTAAATTGATAAGCTCCTTTCATTGGCCACTTGGATCGGTCAAACGACCATGAAATATTATAGGGCGGTATAACATTAATATCTTTATTCCAGGCAGCAGTGAGATTGGCAAAGATGGTCGGATACGTCAGTGCTGGCACTGTCGAGTATCTCTACGACACGTCGGGCCGTTATTATTTCTTGGAATTGAATCCGCGTCTGCAAGTAGAGCATCCTTGCACGGAGATGGTGTCGGACGTTAATCTACCAGCGGCACAGCTTCAAATAGCCATGGGATTGCCTCTTCATCATATTAAAGACATTCGGCTTCTTTACGGCGAAAGTCCTTGGGGCGACACGACCATCGATTTTGATCAGCCCAGACATAAACCACAACCATGGGGCCACGTTATCGCCGCGCGGATTACCAGCGAAAATCCTGACGAGGGTAAAATGGATCCTATCTTAACGATGAAGACGTAGCAATACAGTATATTCATAAAAGAGTCGTCAAAACTGATGACCAGTTGATAGATACTTTTACTATATCGAAGCTTCGTGATATTATATTATTAAAAAAAAAAAAGAAAAGAAAAGTATGCCAACGTAAAGAGTAAACTGATAGTTGCTTTCGTTTAATATAGGATTCAAGCCAAGCTCCGGAACGGTGCAGGAATTAAATTTCCGCTCGTCGAAGAACGTGTGGGGCTATTTCTCGGTCGGCGCTTCGGGTGGACTTCACGAATTCGCGGATTCTCAATTCGGGCATTGTTTCTCCTGGGGAGAAGACCGGAACCAAGCTCGAGAGAATTTGGTTATCGCGTTAAAGGAGCTGAGCATCAGGGGCGATTTCAGAACAACCGTGGAGTACCTGATTACGTTGCTCGAGACTCCGGCGTTCCAGCAAAATAACATCGACACCGCCTGGCTGGACCTGCTCATCGCGGAAAGAGTGCGAAGCGATAAACCGGATGTGTTGTTGGCCGTCACCTGTGGAGCACTCCATATCGCTGATAGAAACATCACTGCAGCATTCACTGGATTCCAGACAGCCTTGGAAAGAGGACAAATACAAGCGAGCAATGACTTAGATAACGTCGTTGACGTGAGTCTTAATTTAAAAATGTATTATTATTTTTGAATCGATCACCTCAGAGGTATCTACTAATAACATTAACAAGGAAAGACGCTTTTAAATTGGTTTCTCCAGTTAATTAAAAAGTGCTTTTCGATTTTGCTGAAAGGAATGTCTGAAATTGACCGTGCGATATTTCAGGTGGAGTTAATCAACGATGGGTATAAGTACAAAGTCCAGGCAGCCAAGTCCGGACCGAACACCTACTTTCTCGTAATGAACGGCTCCTACAAGGAAGTGGAAATCCACCGTCTCTCCGATGGAGGCCTGCTGCTCTCATTGGATGGAGCTAGTTTTACGACGTACATGAAGGAGGAAGTGGACCGGTACCGGATAGTTATTGGGAATCAGACATGCATTTTCGAGAAGGATAACGATCCCTCCCTGTTGCGCTCTCCCTCGGCCGGGAAGTTGATTAATTATTTGGTCGAAGACGGAGGCCACGTTGACGCCGGTCAAGCCTACGCGGAAATTGAGGTGATGAAGATGGTCATGTCTGTGACAGCAAGCGAGGCTGGCAGCGTGTTTTACGTGAAAAGACAGGGAGCCGTATTAGAGGCGGGTGCATTGATAGCGCATCTGGAGCTAGATGATCCCTCCTTGGTGACAAAAGCTCAGGAATACACCGGGCAGTTCCCCGCAGCTGTGGCCCCGGCGATTCCTGATAAGCTCAATCATCTCCACGCAAAGTACAGGATGGCTCTGGAGAACACGCTGGCCGGGTACTGCCTACCGGACCCTTATCACCTGCCGCGATTGCGGGAACTTATCGAGAAGTTCATGTTCTCTTTGCGCGACCCTAGTCTGCCTCTGCTCGAGCTACAGGAGGTGATAGCGACGATCTCCGGGAGAATCCCGGCTTCAGTGGAGAAGAAGATCAGGAAACTGATGACCCTGTATGAGAGGAACATTACCTCGGTCTTGGCGCAGTTCCCCAGCCAACAGATAGCGGCTGTTATCGACGGACATGCGGCTACTCTCTCGAAGCGATCCGAGAGGGACGTTTTCTTCCTGACCACTCAGGCGATTGTACAATTGGTGCAGAGATATCGTAATGGTATTCGAGGAAGAATGAAGACCGCCGTGCACGAATTGCTGAGACAATACTACACCGTGGAGAGCCAATTCCAACAGGGGCATTACGATAAATGCGTGTCGGCCCTTATAGAGCAGTTCAAAGACGACGTGGCCATGGTCACGGCTACCATTTTCAGCCACAGTCAGGTCACCAAGAAGAACATCTTGGTGACTATGCTAATAGATCATCTGTGGGCAAACGAGCCGGGCCTCACCGATGAGTTAGCCAGCACCCTGACGGAATTAACGAGTCTAAACCGAACCGAGCACAGCAGAGTCGCCCTTAGGGCGAGGCAGGTGTTAATCGCGGCTCATCAACCCGCTTATGAGCTCAGGCACAACCAAATGGAGTCCATCTTTCTCTCTGCCGTTGACATGTACGGCCATGACTTCCATCCTGAGAACTTGCAAAAACTCATTCTTTCAGAGACCTCCATCTTCGACATCTTGCATGATTTCTTCTACCACTCTAATCGAGCTGTATGTAACGCTGCTTTGGAGGTCTACGTGCGCAGGGCGTACATTAGCTACGAGTTGACTTGCCTACAGCACCTGGAGCTCTCCGGGGAAATCCCCCTGGTTCATTTTCAATTTTTATTGCCCAACAATCATCCTAATCGGCAGAGTCAATCATTGGTGAACTACAGGACCGGGGCTATGGCGGCATTCCAGGATCTCGAACAGTTCAGCCAGTACTCTGACGAGGTCTTAGATCTTCTGGAAGATCTTTCTTCTCCGAACTCTGTGTCAGCTAAGGTCTTGGAAGCCGTGGATGCCGTTGGAAGCGAATCTCGTCACAGCACGTCTATTAATGTTTCCATAAGCACAGCTCAGGAGACTGGTCCTGTAGAAGTGGGAGATAGACCTGCAGAACCTGTGCACATCTTGAGCATTGCTGTGCAGGATAAAGGCAATCAGGACGATGCAACCATGGCTAGACTCTTTGGGGACTGGTGTGCTACGAACAAAGACGAACTCATTTCTCGGGGAATCAGGAGAGCCACTTTTGCAGCTCTGAAGAGAAAACAGTTCCCGAAATTCTTCACATTTAGGCAAAGAGACGGGTTCGTAGAGGATAGAATTTACAGGCACTTGGAGCCTGGCTGTGCTTTCCAGTTGGAATTGAACAGGATGAGGACGTACGATCTGGAGGCTCTACCAACGTCGAACCAGAAGATGCATCTTTATCTAGGCCAGGCTAAAGTACGATACTCTTGAACAAATTTAACTCATGTTGAAAGTGCAAAAGATATTAATTTAAAATTAACGTGTTAAATGAATGATGCTTCGTGAAACTCCAAAGTTTGGACGTTGAGTTCAAAGTGTTTTTTTTTTGTTACTTTACGTTATTAATAATATTATGCTTTCTTTACAGGTAGCTAAAGGCCAGCAAGTCACGGATTACAGGTTCTTCATTCGATCTATTATCAGGCATTCCGACCTAATAACCAAAGAGGCTAGCTTCGACTACCTCCACAACGAGGGGGAACGTGTCCTGCTGGAAGCAATGGATGAACTGGAAGTTGCCTTTTCGCATCCCCTTGCCAAACGTACGGATTGCAATCACATTTTTTTGAATTTTGTGCCCACCGTCATCATGGATCCTGTTAGGATAGAGGAGAGCGTGACAAGCATGGTCCTCAGATACGGTCCTAGGTTGTGGAAACTGCGAGTTCGTCAGGTACTAAAAGCAAAAACTATAAAAGAAGTGTAGAAAGAAGAGCGACTCAGAATTTCAATGAAAATTTCAATACGCGTTGCAGGCCGAAATCAAAATGACCATTCGCCCGGCACCTGGGAAGCCGACGTCCAACCTTCGTCTCTGTATTGCCAATGACAGTGGCTATAGCATCGATCTGCATCTGTACACCGAAGCGACTGATCCCAAGACTGGAGTAATCCGCTTCGAGTCCTATCCATCACCAACCAATGACATCAAATGGAGGCCTGGCCCTATGCATGGCCTTCCTATTGCTACTCCTTATTTGACCAAGGACTATTTGCAGTCTAAAAGATTTCAGGCTCAAAGTGCAGGCACTACCTATGTCTATGATCTGCCAGACATGTTCCGACAGCAAGTTGAAAAGATGTGGACCAAGTACATCGAAGACCAGCCCACTTCTGGTACTTATCTTGTGGTATATGGGTTGTTATTTATAAAATTAAAAAAGAAAGCAAATTATATAAATTACTTGCCAATGTTTGGATTATGAAGGGGATTTAATGCCTTCTATTTTGTAAAATTGGTGTCTCAGGGTGACTTTAATAGCGTGATAATTCTTACAGAGAATATATCGGTCCCAAGCCCAGTGATGGATTGCGTGGAATTAGTTCTGGATGGAGACAATCTCGTCGAACAAAAACGTTTACCAGGTGAAAACGATATCGGCATGATCGCCTGGAGGCTCAGTCTGTACACCCCAGAATATCCATCTGGCAGGGATATCATTCTAATTGCTAATGATTTAACTTTCCAAATCGGTTCGTTCGGGCCTAAGGAAGATCTTGTATTCTGCAAGGCTTCGGAAAGAGCGAGGCAGTTAGAAATTCCTCGAATCTACTTCTCGGCAAACTCTGGTGCTCGAATAGGTCTTGCTGAAGAGGTAACACCACTTCCAACGTACAACCTATTGTTCATTTTTACGCATGTAATTCATTATACAAAAATATCTGAAATAATTTTTTGTTTCATTTCAGGTGAAAAGTCTGTTTAGAATCGCCTGGGAAGATGAGAAGGAGCCTGAAAAGGGATTCAAGTACATTTATTTGACTCCTGACGATTATGCACGCTTAGCACCGTTTAATTCTGTGAAAGCATCTCTTATCGAAGATCCTGCTGGTGAATCTCGCTACAAGATTACCGATATTATTGGCAAAGACGACGGGCTGGGAGTTGAGAATTTGAAATACGCCGGTATGATTGCTGGTGAGACTTCAAGAGCTTATGAGGAAGTGAGTATACGTGATTCCACAGAAATTGTTTCATGTATTATATATAAATTTGGTGCCCACAAATTTATGAGTACATTTTACTTGTAAATATTAAAGTCTATGGATATTAATTATGCGTTAAAGTTACATGAACATTCGCGAACATTCGATGAACATTCCTTGATCGAGAAACATCCTTGCCAAATTCAATCGTAGGGGGAAAAAGCAATTGCAACAGGAAGTTACGCGTTTCCAGACCGTATGTTCATGTAACTTCTTTTATTTTGATGTACACAAAAATCATTCCAAAAATATGCTCATCAATTTCAGAAGTACCTTGTGCAAATGTTAGCGAATGAAACTTAAATCAGTTATCATTAAATTTGATTTATTTCACATGGGTACTGTACATTGAACTATAGCTTTGAAGCGTTGTTACACCATTTATGTTATCACACAGGTGGTTACAATTTCCGTCGTTTCATGCCGTGCTATCGGAATTGGCTCCTACCTGGTGCGCTTTGGTCAAAGAGTGATACAAATAGAAAACTCGCATATTATTTTGACCGGATACAGAGCTCTAAATACGGTGTTGGGCCGTGAAGTGTATGCCAGCAATAATCAGTTGGGTGGCATTCAGATTATGCATAACAATGGTATATCTCATGCAACCGAACCAAGGGATTTGGATGGAATTGGGACCGTACTAAAATGGCTAAGCTATGTACCAAAAACTAAAGGGGCTCGTCTCCCATGTGTATACCTTCCATTGCCTGATACAATTGATCGAGAGATTGGATACGTTCCTACAAAAGCGCCTTATGACCCAAGATGGATGGTCGATGGCAGGTATTCTCCAACGGATCCCTCGGTGTGGGAAAGTGGATTCTTCGACCGTGGATCCTGGCAGGTGGGTTTAGAAATGATTAAACAGCATTTAACAACGAATAAAATTGTATGCCGTAGTATACCGTATACCTACAGAGCCATACATTCGATTGACTCGTTTAATCATCAATTTGTTGAATCGTCTGAAAGTATTTGCCGTTAAATATTGTCGTTTAAAGACTATATTTGAAACTATAAAGTATAAAGTTAAGGAGATGTGAAAGTGGCATCCGAAAGGTCAATCGTTTATGAAACTTTTACATGAACTAGGCATACCGAATCGTTTCAAACTTTACATAGTGAACATGGAGGCTATAAGGAAGGTCCTGACACTCATGAAATTTTGAAAATACCTATATAAACAAATTTTGAAAAAATTGAAACTCTATGGGGGCCAGGACCTTCCTTATAGCCTCCATATTCACGTTGTCAAGTTTGAAACGATTCGGTATACCCAGTTCGGAGAAGATTTCATAAAACGAGGCCTCTGTCACGCCAGATTCGTATCACCTTAAAAGTATTAGAGAAAAGAAATTTGCTTTTGCGTTAACTTGTGGCTATATATATAAAAAAAAAGTACCCAGAAATGTTATAAAAGACACGAAACTGTAAGCTTATGTGATTATTATTGGGTTTTGTATGCGCTTGTTTATTCATTTGCATATTAAATCGACTTGTGCAGGAAATCATGAAACCCTGGGCACAAACTGTAATAACCGGCCGGGCCAGGTTAGGTGGCATTCCCTGTGGGGTGATAGCGGTGGAAACGAGGACAGTGGAATTACATCTTCCTGCAGACCCTGCCAATCTAGATTCCGAAGCGAAAACCGTGTCCCAAGCCGGGCAAGTTTGGTTTCCCGACAGTGCCTATAAAACCGCTCAAGCTATCAAGGATTTCAGCAGAGAGGAGTTGCCTTTATTTATTTTTGCTAACTGGCGAGGGTTCTCCGGTGGCATGAAAGGTACGTTTTGAAGGAGATAAACATAGTTGTAATTACATTATCGCCACAGGCCTGGATACTTATTTAAAACATTACCCTTAATTTACCGTAAAAAGTTGATCGTCCAATAAGCGAATATTAAATACCCATATGACCATTATTATGCTTACCAAATCTCTGAAGAATATGGATAAAATGGTCCATTGAATTGATTTAAGAATACGGTTTTCCTTAGTTTTCATATCTTAAATACATCTGTAGAATTTATATTTAATAGGCTTTAAGAGCCTTGGTAAATTAGTAGAATCTTGGGGCTGATTAGTATGAACTGATTCCGGATTAAAAGTAGATTGCAAGCTTCGTTTTGAAGCATTAATTTCGTGCGGAAGTACTTCAAACTGATATCCAGGTCTGTCATGGTATTCGTCTTAGAGTTGTCTCTTCGGTTGCTAAGCATTACAAATTGTGTTAGACATGTACGAGCAAATCATGAAATTTGGAGCGTACATCGTGGATGGCTTGAGGGAATACTCCAGGCCAATAATTGTCTACATTCCGCCAAATGGAGAGCTTAGAGGAGGCGCGTGGGCAGTTGTGGATCCCACGATTAATCCTCGCTACATGGAGATGTTCGCTGATAACACGAGTCGTGGTGGTGTCCTCGAGCCGGAGGGAATCGTAGAAATCAAATTTAGGAATAAGGACATTGTTAAGACAATCCATCGAGTCGATCCCATAATACCGAAGCTGAAGGTAAAGCTGTCTACTCAATTAAAATATAAAATGAAGCTCATTCCTTATAAACGTAAAAATAAGTACGATTAATAATATATCTACTATCTACGGAACGCACTTAATTCACCCGCAATTGAGAAAATTTCCCTACAAAATGAGCAACTCCCTGATAAAAAGATTGCACTCAGCAATGCTTATAGGCGAAGATAAAGTTAATTTTGATCTTGATATTATAAATTCAGCTAATCCGGCACACGTTTTCTTTATCTTTCTTAGGAAAAGATTGCGAATTCAAGTTCAGCCGAGGAGCGGATAAGCCTAGAAGCGGAGATGCGCCAGAGAGAGAAGAACTTGGAGCCGATGTATCGGCAGGTGGCGGTCCATTTTGCGGATCTCCACGATACCCCGGAGCGCATGTTGGAGAAGAACGCCATTCAGGAGATCATACCCTGGAAGAAGGCACGGAAGTCGCTTTACTGGAGGCTGCGTCGCAGACTCTTAGAGGAAGAGATTAGAGCCGAGGTCTTGTCGACGCAACCCAGTCTGGACGTGAGGCAGGTCGACGCGATGCTGAGGAGATGGTTCGTCGAGGACAAGGGGACCACGGAATCGTATTTGTGGGATCAGGACGAGACCGCCGTTAGCTGGCTAGAGGTTCAACGGGAAAAGGAAAACAGCGTGGTATCGAGGAGTATTGCTTGCGTTAAAAGAGATGCAATAGTGACGCGCATCAAAGAGGCTCTGGAGACGTGTCCCGAGGTGCGATTGGACGCGGTCTTGGAGATTGCACACAGATTACAGCCTTCCGAACGTGCTGAGTTGTTAAGGACGTTGTCGCAATTGGAGGCGTTCGGTCAGGAACATCACAATGACTCTAGTGCTTCGTCTTAATACACCGCCAGAGTAATAATTTTTGCCTGTTTGTTCTTTTCTATTCCTCGCATGTTCGATTTCAAAGTAGCTCTCTTAGGATGAATTATTTGTACAGATACCGTGTGATATGCGTATATATATATATACGTCCTGTTGGCATTGTTCATTGTACAAGAGCTATATAATTTATCGAGGTATTGTAATTATTCTTATCGTTTTCAGAATAGAAGCGAGCGCTCATGATAGTTCCGTATTTTAAGTCGGCAGGGATGACGTCAGAGAACTTAATCTCATAGTCATACAAAGATTACCGTTAGCTGTAAACCTATACCTACATTATCTGGTAATGTAATGCAAGTATTTGGGAATATGAAGAGATTACATATTTATTTTTAGAGAGTGAGAGAGAGAGAACAAAAAGGGAATATGTAAATATACGCTCTGTTTCTTCTATTCGTAAGATTTCGTCCGTAACGATCCGTGAAAAATTTAAGATTTTTATAAGCTGGAAAGGAACTGAGCTTCGATGTTTGGGAGAATATAGTAAATAAATGAAGGTACGCAGGCATATTTTTAGGAAACCGTTGACATTGAACGTGCCTTTACTTTTCGACTCTTGTCCCTGGCGCAATATTATACCCTCGTAAACACGATAACCACGATTAATGCTCTGTATCGTAAATAGCAATATAATATATTTATTGTTACTAAAGGTATTTACAGTTTAAGGTACTACAAGATTATGCAATATCCAAGGTAAAATTGTTTTGATATAAAAACTTAAAAGGAATATACGAGCATTATGCACGAGTTTCACGATTATTGTACTTTATCTATTGAACGTTATAAAGAAACGAAGGAGCTTACCGTATATCACAACTCTTTATCTTATTAAAATACCGGAATTTGACTACGATGCACGTTAACGAGGTCATCATCCAAAGTTGAGAGGACCATGAATGAGAAGAACATTGCCAAAGCGGACAGAAAATGCCATATATCGTGTGAATCGAAAAAGTTCAACAATTCACAAGGCTTGTTGTAAAGGCGCGACTGGGCAGGGGTAAGAGCCCAGGATATGGACTTGTTTATAAAGAAATAGAGAGCTGCACCCCACACAAGAATTGCGAGAATTATATATATTAACGGCTCTAACATTATCCATTCTCTATGGCAAAGCTGAAAGTAAAACGTTGCAGGATTAATCATGACTATATTGTCAACGTTTATATAACAATGTGAAACACAAACCTTCATAACGATGTAAAAGACCATGTACAACAGTAAATTGGTCATCAGCACGGCGAGTAAATATGTATCGAAGTCTTTCTCGTGGTGCATGTTTCCAAAAATAGCCAGGGCGAGATTGCAAAGATTTGCTATCACAAGCAGCACTAATCTAGCACCGTAAATTGGTCGCACGAGGTAAATCAGACCTGCACGGGCGTCATGCCTAGCCGTCTGAAAGTGGGAAAAAAAAGACATTGTTGAAACCATGAGATTAATTTTTTCCATTTCACGGGTAAATAATTTAAAATGAAGGAATTTATAAATGGGGAAAACATTACTTTCTTGTATTACATTGCAAAGATGTAGACTTTACCATTACAACGCGGCGTAATAATCCACCGTTAAACTTCCATCTGCCCATATAGTAGATCTGAGCGGTCAACGCCAGACAAGTACTCAGGTGTATTATGGAAAATATTATCCAAAAATATCGCGATCCGTCTAACACGCCAACTAAACCGAAGAATATCATAAGCGCTAAAACGCCGAACGTTACTGGAGCTCGGGCGTTAATGTCAGGATGACGAGTTTGATAGATCTTGACCATGCACAGGACTGCCATTATGTACATAAAACTTGTATCTGAAACGTGTATGTCATGTTACATTATTTTCTGACATTGCAGGTATTAATAGAATATTATACATCGTTTAACATATTTGGAATTTTTCGTTGCAAAACGGAAGAAAACTTTTTAACCCTGCTTAATTTTTTCTTCTTGACCCCACATGGCAAACTACCAAGTCACGTGGATTAAATTTTTTCCAAACAAGACATAAGTATTTGATCACTTTGTAAAAACTAGTCATTGTTTTATACTAGTTAAAAGACCAAATACTTATAAATTGTAGTATTTGATAATTTGTTGCTGCGTGACATAAGTTTGTAGTTAAAAATCTGAGTTTATAAAAGAAAAGAAGTTACAATATTTTATAAATTCATTTCCATGTTTTTATATTTTTCTTAATGCATATACCAAACTTACCAAATTGAAAATTACTATGATTGGGACACAGGTGATAACTTCCCGACAAGACACCTTCCATCATCAATGCTGTGCCCATTGCATAAAACAAACCATAATGCTGAGGGATTCCGTAGCTCTTATTTCGTTCATTGTCTTGATCTTTTTGTTCCTTTGTGTATGTTAACAAAATGAATAACAGACCCAATACAATGTAGCCGAAATTTGAGAACACATGGTTGAAATCCGACAGAAATCCCAATGGATGAGCGCACAGAAAGTTGTAATAACAGAGATCTTGATTTCCGGTAACGTGCAATACGTTTTGGTACGTTATAACTAGTTGAATCACTGGCAATGTATAAAAAACTGCAACCGTCACTAGATAGTATAAGTATAAGCGTGATTTATGCCTAAGGATCTTTGGATCTTTCCGAGCAAGATCGCAAACCGATAATACGAGTTTCGTACGTATCACTTCTTTGTCTGAAAATGCATCCTCCAGAATATCAATATCATCTTCATCTAATGAAGAATCTTCATCAATTGAAGCCCATTGACTAGTTGCAATCTAAAATCACAATTATATGAATATTTTTAATTGAACCGCCGATTCTGAAAGAGGATTTATTTAAGATAGAATGCCACATACAAATGAAAAATGTTTTCCATATTATATCATTAGTTTTCAACAACGAATGAACAATGAATAGATGATACTTACATCACCTACCGTTGATGAACTCGATATATTATGCTCTGTATTTTCTAAATTATTTAACAGCTCTTCATTTAATCTTCTGCCATGTCTAATTCTAAATAGTATTACTCCGATTAAGTAAAATGTGCAAAATACCAGAGTAAGACCAAATATTATAATTGATGCTACTAAATAATCGTGTTTAGTAACAGTAGCATTGATTAGCAAGAAAACAGTCTTACTGCGTGGGAAACTAGTTTTGACAGACCCAGTACAGTCTACGTCGTCACCTTTGACAACGAATACCACAAAAAAACCTAATGGATAAGCATCTCTCTGAAAATATTAATTTTCTAAATTTAGAGTTTGTAAAAATCCAAAAAGCGAAATATTTTCTACTTTCAAAAAAGTTCTGAGACTAAAGAAAATTTTTTAAATGTTTACCGGTACAGTTATGCCACCTCTTCGACTGACTGTTTGCCAATATCCAGAAAACTGAATATTCCTTTCTAAATCAAAAACAGGGCACTAAAAAAGAAATATTCATAGAAATTGCTGAAGTACTTAAAATGTATAATGATAAAATTAGCTACTAATATATATTATTCGAGTGAAATGAAGTATAAAGAGAATTATCATACCGATATATTTTGTATAGAAACTGTCATACAAGTGTCACTATTAGACTCCACTCGAACCACAACCGATGAACTCTCTGCTTGTCCAGGAAATGTGTAGCCATAATATACCGGTTCTGCCGGAGAGACATCTATTGTACGATTTTCATCAAGCCTAAAAACATTACGTGCATAACGTTTCTTTTTTTATTTCAATATTCACACAAACAATATGTCTGAAAATATGAAGCATCACTAAAGCAAACTAAAGAGTGTGAACAACATTTTACTGTATGTCTCAACAATATACTACGATTTTTCGGAAAAATAAAATACATAAGTACCCACCTTAAATAAAAACCTCGAATGTGATAGACCGTCATTTCAAAATCAATGTTGGTTGTGCTAGCAGTAGAAATGCTAACGGTAACAAATTCTTCATGGTTTAACAGATTTCGTTGACAGTATCTGCTTGAGCATAAAGTCCGGCTAGTTGTATTATACATTTGAGTTTCGAAATGTGAAGATTCCACCACGTAAGGAATTTGCCACGACAGAATTCCTTTTTCTTGCCTCACTACTATAATTAGTGGAAGATCACGCGTAGCATTGCTTTGTACCTTTATTCGGGCACCATCGGTTGACGAGGTCTGCACATTCAAATGTAATAATATTCAATACGTTGTATTTAAATGTTATCTGTCTAATTAATAGATAAAAATGGAAATGTTATACATTTAAGATATTTACATTAGTTTCGCTGTAAAGGAAAACATATTCAATGGAGGTGTTCACCACGCTCGTGTAACTTTTGTCGTACTCAGCATTGGTGACATTTGCATATAAAGATGGAGGTGTTGAAATTGCTGCTCCAGCAATTCCAATAAACAATGACAACGTGACCAATGCCACGTGTCCCTGCATTTCCATGGCTTTATCTGCTTCATAAATTAATGTGATTAGGCAATGCATGCAATAATTAAATTAATTCTCTCCTGTAAGGAATAATTCAACGTAGCTACAGTTTAAAATGAAATGGAAACTTACATGTTTAATAACCTTTAAGCAAAACGTAATGAATAATTAGATTATTAAACGTATAAAGTATACTACTCAAGGGTTAAACGATTTTAATTGGATGAAAGATTACTGATATAAAAACAGCTCCTTGTCAAGTGACATCTTTTGGGCAAATAATGTGTAATTCCTAAAAACACTTATACGTTGTGGGGTTCATGGAATATTTCGATTTTTTTATTACAAAAAAGCTAATACAATTCTTAGTGAAAATACATGATTCCTTAGGCGTGTCATTGGGTAAATAATAAAGGATAAATTGTTATGTACCATAAGTTGTGGTTCATGCCGAATGTGAGCATTTAACCAAGAATCTTTCTCGCACGAAATGATGAACTTGAATAATTCTTGAATTACTTCTCACGAGACGTTCAACGACCTTTTCAATTATTATCAACCACAGTATAACTTGGTCTAACTAGTCTGGTAATCACTGATATGTTTAACAGCTATCAACCAGAGATGAGTTGGTATCAACTCGGTAACCTCGCGTCACAGAGATAAGATGAATGATTTCTCCGAACCGATTTTGACGACTACAATTCTAATGCTGCCCTCTCGCAGATCTTTACTGTAGCTCAGACCACCAGTGGTGCTATCTAACGGTCATTCTCTGTAAGCATGTACACCTTAATAAGTTTTTCATTATAAATTGAAACTGGTGAAAGTTCCAACATTAAAAGTTATCGGTGAAAAATAATTCTATCGAACTTGACATAAACTCAAGTTGAAACCTGAGACACCGACGTATAACCTCTTTCCAATCCGTGATTAAAAAATAATCAGTTACATTTTAAATTGTACATTACATGATAGACATAATCATTGATGAGTCTCGAAAGTCATTAAATGATGAGTTTTCAGGATTTACTTTAGAAAACCGTTTTTACTGGTGTTTTCCTTCAAACAAATTCATTTAAGTTTCAGAAACTTAATCAGCGAGTTGTATTTCAAGTAAATAGGAATATGTACTAATTCTTGATTGAAAATGTATTTTAAACATCACGGTAAAATAAATTTAAAATGGGAACATTCCAAATGGACATTCAGGCTCGCTTTCGAGCACCCCATGACGTTAACGATTACGTTTCAAAGAAATCCTCCGAGGGGAGTAGTAAACGTCAGGGGTGGTGCAATCTCCATTTATTTCCCGTTGCAAGATTGTAATTCACCGGCCGGCGTGGATATTTTTACGCCATCGAAAATTGCTCCTCGCTACCCTAGTCGTGATAAAAATACATTTCGGGGAGCTGCCTCGAACGGTCGAAGTGCACGGGTGAATTTTTACAAGTGACCAAGCATGCAAGTTTTGACGTTCCCAGAGAGTTATTCGTTGAAGAATTATTTGACCAAACAGTTCCCTGTTAAAAGAAAAATAAGGTTATCAGGACGATTGAAAAAAGTAAAGAAACAATAAGAAGTATTCAATGCTGAATAAGACTTGAGTGACAACATTTACGACAAAAAGTTATAAAAATGGTTTACTTCTTTCATGTAAAACGATATTCTTCGACTTATACACTTGTTTTTTCTTTTTCCAGCAATACTTAATGTAACATCTTTCTATTGCACTCCTTCTTTATAACCAAGGAAGCTGTTGAAAAATTAGAACTTTATGAACATTTAAATTCAAAAACATGTATATAAATTGTTCATTTACACTAAATAACATTAATTAATATCAGAAGGTTAGTATTTGCAAATTTCAAGTTATATCACTTTTTTCTTGAAGAAAATGAAAATGCGTTACAAGGAGTTGAATTCCTTAATTTTTGGTCAATCAGCTCAAGAGAAAACGTCGACCTTTTACTAAACACATATATTCCCTCTCTCTCTCTCTCTTTTTTTTTTTTCATCAATTCAATCCCCAAAGAAACCTTTTACAATTTCATAATCCGCGTCATGCATTAATTGAAATTTGAATTACATAATGTTGGATCGCCGGTCCAGGAGAAGCCGAGATTTGTAAGATGGCAATGAATTAACCTGCTTTTGATTAAAAACATTACAAATATAATAGATATTCAAAATCCTTACTAAATTCCTTGATTTTTGGTCAATCAGCTCAAGAGAAAACGTCGACACTTTACTAAGCACATATATTCCCTTTCTCTTTCTCTCTTTCTTTTTTCATAAAATCAATCCCCAAAGAAACTTTTTACAATTTTGAAATCTGCGTCATGCATTAATTAAAAGTTAAATGATGTAATGTTGGGACGCCGGGAACTGTAACGTGTCGTCGCGACGAGAGGCGTTTCTGGACGGCGGCGGCGATGCAGGGGTTGGTTTTTCACGGATGGCCAAGAGAGCCGCGGTGAGTGGGAGTCCCGACGCAGGCGCCGCGACGCCAAACGTCGTCGACCAGTGTCAGTGTGCTCGAGGTAGCTCCCCTCGACGGACGTCAATTCGTCGACGTCGCCGAGTATGGCTCGGGCACGTGGCTCGAGCAAGGCGTCGGTTTCCTAGGGCTTCCGTAACATAGTCTCGTTCTCGCAAAATGACCGGCAGGCCGACGCCCGGCGTCGCGACGCCAGCGCGTTCTCGGCGCGGTGCGTGAAATTATTCGCGCGCTAAACCGACGCCGGAGTAGCGAAGCGAATCCACTCGCCGGCTTGGATTAACTTGATAATAAAGAGAAAAGTGCAACGGGGAGGGGAAATAAGAAAGAGGTACCGATGGGTATAAAAAGTCTTAATACAACTTGTGCCTTGGTACACTTTAAATCGTAATCTGTACAATGATACCGGGGGAGCAGACTCGGGGTGTGTGTTAATAACTAATTTCGAATTATCGTTGAATTAAATACAGAAAGGGTACATTGAAAGGCTGGAAAAAGTTGTAATAATTGGTATCTCGATCGGTGTGTAAGATATTAATCTTAGATTTGTGTTAGGGATATCGAACGCCGGGGAAGAAGAGAGAATTTATACTTCGAATTCACTTTTGAACCGCTTCGTTAAATATTTGACTAAACCGGTATTATGAAAAATTGTGTTTTAAACATTAATTTAACATACTTGACGCAAAAGAGACGAAGCGAAACCCTGCCCGCCGAGCAATTTTAGTAAAGGAGGAAAAAAGATTAAAAGCAAGCAGGAATTATGTGTACGTGCATCGACTTGTATTCTGAATTTTACTAAATTGCCGATTAGAGATAGCGATGCGAATGAAACACCAACTAGTGCACTAATTCTCGTCCGGAATTTCGAAATAACTGAGTTTATTTATAATCATAAATATGCAAATTTATAGCATGGCATTTGAGAGTCAAAGCGAGATCCCTCTTTGTTTCATAAGCAAGATAATTACGGTTTGAAAAGTACAATGCGATTGATGAAAATGCAATAATTCGTTAATTTCCGCGCAAGTTTCCTACATTTTTATGTATTTTTATCTATTTTTGACTTTCACCTTTTTGAATTAATTAAAAATTTGAGGGTGAGAGGGAAGATCGAATCAAAACACTAGTTGGTGCACGTACAGGTGTCATAAATCTTCGTGGCTTTTAATTTGGGAACTATTGGTCCAGAGGGACGAAACATACGCGGCAGCACTGATTGCTACATGTCACATGTCCGAATAATTGAACATTTATCATTGAATATAATCGCGACAAACGGACGAACGGAAAGGTCCATTGGAGGATCAATCAGTTAATACGGAACAAGGCGATGAATGAAAAAAAAGGAATAAATATCAACGGGTGCATAACAAGTCAAATAAATAGAAACACGTTCATGAAAAAGTCACGTCAAAGTGAAGAAATTTTGGTGGAATGTAATGATATCGATTACCGTGACGGGAGTAAGCTCTTTTAGTTAATACAATTAAAATGAAAATTTGCATCATAAGTCTTCCAATCAGAAATAAATGGGGATAATAACAGAAATGAAGGATGATATCCCAAATGCAATTTAGATAATACTAATTTGACGCCAGTAGCTGGATGACGTAAAATAAACAATATCAGATGATTTCAATATTTATGTATCGGCATTAAATATTTTCGTTAAATATGTGTTTCGAATCCACAGAAAGACAGGAGCCTTAAAAGAAAAAAAAAATAGTTCAATTATACCCTGTCCATATAAGAGGCGATTAAAAAACTCAGCACCATGTGCGTCCGAAGGAGCTCCGCGAGAAATCGGCGAAAAACTGAAACCACCGTTCCCTGGTCTTCGTGCCCGATACCAATAAAATTTTGACAAACGTGGTCGTGAAAAAGAACGAGCCGGCAGTGCGTCGAAAAAAGGAGGAACAGGGAGAAGTAGGGCAAACCTCCCGCGAAATGGCTCCGAGGAAGGCGATGCTGCTCCCAGGACATCAACGAGCAGCCATCGGAAGGATAAAAGAGCTCGCGAAGTTCCGGGGCTACGGGGAAACGAACACCCTCGTAGGAACATAGTGTTCGCAAGTCGTTCAGGGGAAAAAAAAAAAGAAAAGTCAAAGGAAGTGTCGCCGTGGAAGAAATTAAAAAAGATGCCGGGGATCGTGGTATTCCGGCGACGCTGGAGCGTCGGAAGCGACGACCTCGTGGTTCCTGGCTCCTTTTTGTTCGTCCTGCACCTTATATGGTGAGTTGGCTCGGATTTATCATTTACCCACAATCGAGAAATTTGGCAGATTAGCGCGATATGCCGATACATACCTAAACTGAGAAAAAGTACACTGTCAAAAAGAAATATGATAATTTTATAACATTTCTATTGGAAGTTTCATTCAGATAGGGTATACAAATTTTATAATATATTTTCAAATAGAATTTATTACATATGTTAGAAACTTAGTACCTATGTGTAATAAATTTATAATACATGTTGTAAATTTATGTTGAAACGATTTTTCTGCAGACAAAGAAATTTTACATTCGATGTTCCGGGCACGTTCGAGGACGATTATAGAGACAGCCCTGCCCTAAACGCTGAAAAAAAATCTTTTTGCAATTAGCGGGGTATCGAAATCCGGAATTCATGGGAAACTAGCAGGTGCATTATCCGTGATGCTACCGGAGTCTCCAATTGATTGTAAGAATTTTAAAAAAATATTATTTAAATATTTCTCGAGCTCAAGAATGTCACTTCAATGCTTTCTCCATCAGTATCACCGATACTTGTCATCTCTCGATTATATTTGTTTAAAAATAAACTTACATAAACGATCGTAAAATTAAAAACTCATCTAAAAAATGTGCAAGCAATGCGTACCAAATGACTTTCGATTATCAGATTTATAATTTTTCTCCGCAATTTCACAAAATTGCAATACGATGTTATAAAATTATAAATTTACTTAGAATTGCATAATAAATGTATATTAATTCACTATTAAGACATCAAATTTATAATTTTACTGCAACCTTGAGTACTAAAAGTGTATGCATTTTTTTTAACAGTGTAGTTATGAAATAGGCGCAAGTACGATATACAACTACAAAAAGAAAGAATAACATTACAAATTGTAACTTTACAAATGTTCTATGTCATATTCTTTCTAGGTTCTCGCGCTTATTTCACAAAACGCGTAGAAATGTTTAATACTAGTCTTTCTCAGGGTACATGTTCGTTAATTATCCAACCCAGTGTTTCATTAATTCAAGAACTACTTGATTCGATGCGAACTCATCCGAAGATGTCGCCTTGACTTCGGAAGAAATGATAAATGTCCGACTTTATTGGAGGATCTTTCTGTGACCCAATGGAGTCGGCGCCAAGTACATACATTTTTCACTTCTAAGACCAAAGAAAGAGACTCGACCGAGTCTCTATAATGCGTGATATTGATCATGGATGCGCTCATTCCTTAAACATCTGGAAAAATATAGCTTATAAGGGGTCTATATTTATAAGGATAACACGAACTAATTGATAAGTAATATTTATATGCTTGATTCCGACTCGATATACAAATCATAGTAATTATTCTTGATTTGAACCGTCAAATTTGGCCAATTTCTCGATTTAATAAACATCTCGTCTCTGGACCTTATCGACATTCTGAAGGGAAATGATACATATCTTTGCCACAAAATTTTCCGGGAGTTCGCTAGATCTTACAGTAAATATATATTTCATTCCCGTATTTCAAAGATTACAAGAGACTGTGACATTATTATGAGAAATGCTGTCTTGAAATATCTGGAGAACAATTGCTTTAAGATATACTTATGATATAGTTTATACATCTGATATGCTCGGTTGGCTGCACATGCATAGTATAATAATTAGTCCAGAGTTGGGCTGCCAAGTTCTCGTGTAAATTCGAAGTAACGTTTCATTAAGCTCGGCTCGGATTAATTGCAACCCTCGCTAGAATGCAGTCCTGAGACGTTGGTGCATGCCGAGTATTTTGCGAATAATTAACAGGCGTCGTACGCGCTACCGACTCGGCGAAGAGTTAAATTTCAAGCATCCTGAATCGAGAGGCAACTATATATATACATATATATGTTTTATATATATATACATATATGGCGTAAGCAGTAAATCTTCCGAAACAAGGGCGGAAAACCTACTCGAAGTAGAAGGAGATTAACATTCGGCGAACGTAAGGAGCGGAAAGAACTGGTTGAGAAAGACGCGTGATCCTCGTAATTTAAAGACGTGGACGGAAAAGCGAAATAGTTCCGGAATTGTTTTCGTGCCAGCCCTAAGGTCTTTATCCACTCCAATTTTGAAACATTGAAATGAAAATCTTTCTCGGAATCGTCTCGACTGCATTGACGAAATCACAGGTACATACATGTCTGCATACGTCCATAAAAAAAAAAAAAAGAGAATAACTTTGCAATATATCAAATACGTGAAACTTGCCTCATGTATCGCGAATATGAAACAACGAAAAATACGCGGATTATTCATAGTATCTAATTCCGTATGGTATGTCTTCCGAAATTCTCCAAGGACGATTTTTAGATCACTGTATTCTTTGAATACACATTTTGTATTTAATACATAAATACCTATATGATATTCATCGTATAAGATTTCTAGTGGTGAAATGTACTTAGCAGACGTAATGAATTCCGTTTCAGTGGTGTTCATTTCGCGCTGTAACCAAATCGGCCTCCGATACGAGTAGTTTTGATAAGAGCCGCAATCGCCATTACAAGCTACGCTCCTGATGACTCGTTTTGTACTTAATACTGAAATATATGATATTCATCGCGTAAGACTTCTAGTGATGAAAAGTACTTAGTTCGGCAGACGTAATGAATTCCGTTTCAGTGTTCATTTCGGGCTGTAACCAAATCGGCCTCCGATACGAGTATAGTTGATAAGAACCTTAATCGCCATTTCAGCTGCACTCACGTTGCAAATATGTGTCCACTCTGTAGTGCAGCATTGCGGCAACTGCAGGTCTGAATAAGAGATGGAGATAAATAAAATATGATTCGTCTCGGTGTCCGAGGGAAGTAGTTCGGTGCCATTGGGTAAGCTAAGGTCTGCCGTGTATGTATTTAAGCATACGCGCGTAGACGTACGTGTGAACACTTGAACACGATAATGGCCACCGATACGTCACGCAGTTAGCTTATGACCTATCCTTTACCAGTTTCTGAGTGTTCGATCGCATACTTGTAATGGACAGTTTCGAGTGAACTTAAAAAAATGACGTGTAGACGGCTGCGTGTAAAATGAGTTATCAGCAAATCATACCTAAGTGATGATACATATCGTGCGCATTTAATGTCTCGTATGTCCAGGGACACGGAGCTGACTTGAAGTCTTTTATGCACCGCTTGGCAAACAATCGCAATACCTAAAAATAAAAATCGTGCAAATTAAAGACTGACATATATATCGGGTGGAATAAAGTAAAACGACAGAGATTCGACGATCGGCTTAAATAATACTTGTGATTACCAAGGTATGGTCACAGCTTCGTTTTGTTATGCTAAATATTTTGTGTGGTTATCAGATAACTGAATAATTTTGGTTTTTAGGTATCGTAGTTACTTTCATGTACAACAAATTCAAACGCATCGATTTAATTTTGAATATGGCTGAGTTATTTTTATAATGACTGGAAATTTTTAACGAACTTCAGGGCTCCTTCAACAATACCAGGAATCTAATAATTCGTACATTAATTGAGAAGATTTAGTATTTTGTATAATCAGGAGCCCGCCAGTTGATTTATATTTTTTTTTACGTGTCTAGAAAGGAGTTCAGACACGTTCGCGTAATGTTAGGTCTGGTTGGATATTTTAAGGAATCCAATAATTTATGGGTAATTTACGTCTAGCTTATTCACAACTGCATCAGCTGTTTTTATACATACATACATACACGTGCATAGCAAAGAATCCTGACGTGTCTACTAAATTTTGAACTTGGCTAAGTATTTTCTTAAAAATTTAATAGTTTGCGGTGGACTAATGAGGAACTACATTTTTTACACCAGCTTAGGAGAATATCAAGAAAGGACCCTATAATTTACAAAAATCTCTCTTGTTTTTTGACACCAAATGAAGTGTCCGATAATAGTCGTGAAGTAAAAAATGTATTTTTATGTTAATAAGTTAAAAAATATAATTCCTCTACATGTTTATAAATTATTGAAACTAAATATGTCATTGAGATTTTCAACAAATAATTTAAATATCTTCGAATGAGATCTACAAGAAATCTTAAAAAATCTGTCGCTTGAGATACTTAGCAAAGATTACAAAGAAATATTTAGAAATTATTCTATGCTACTAGGGGAAGTTGATAAACCTACGCTACAAATTGTCACTTTTGACGCAGAGGTTGTTTCGCAATTCAATGAACCAATGGATGTAAATCGATTATTTATGAAGAATGGGCGATAAAGGTGCACTTGAAATTTCCCGATAATTAAGAAATTTTGTGCCGGGTTAGGGAATGAATTTTTCATGCGTGGCTCAGGGTGATAAGATAAAAGCCCAGATGTACTGCGATGTAATAATGTAAACATATTACAAGGAAGGGCAAATGTGCGCTAAATCGATTCCGGGCCGACACCGCATAGTAATTAATGTTATTATACGCGTTCCCAATCTATTAGTGAAACTGCCTAAAAGTCCAATATTAATTAAAATAAATATAATAACTTTTTAAGTGGAACTTCCTTTGGCACGGTACTCCATATAGGTTCGTATAATCCGAAAGGGGCTCGTATCGAAATGTGAAATATATCTTTTCAATGAATTACTATTCCCATTTTTTTATGTTTTATTAACATACATATTATTTCTACCGTTCATTACTACCTTAATTTATCTTTGTGAGGTAGTATTGCAACAACTAGCGCAATCGTTTTCGATTGCGTCGGTGCATTATTCTTTGAGTAAATTACTGATACTTAAAGGTAAATAAAAATACATATGCCCAAAACAATGAGTATCCACCGCATAAAGACACTTCGTGAAAGAATAAGTAAGAACGATTAATAATAAAATATCTAATAATACTCTTTAACTTAAAGGGTTCACATCCACGCGCCTATTTCTTTTGGATAAATTTAACGAAACCGTAATTGTTGTAATGCCCCCCCAATGTCACCCCAAGTTTCTTAGTCCATCGTAAGAAAAAGTTGTTTCCCTCCTTCCCTT